TCGGCCCGCATACAGGAAGCTCGGTTGGCATTCGCCAATTTAAGACGTGTGGCCTACGCGACATTCGGCTGTCCGTGAAGGGTCGAGTGTATGCTGCAACAGCTTGAACAATTGTGCTATATGGCGCCGAAACTTGATCATTACGAAAACGGGTTCGAACACCGGCGTCTACACAGTATCCCCTGAGTCTGGTGGTGTATATATTCATTATATTTCACACGTGTCCGAGGACAGACTGTGTGCCAAGAAAAAACATGGTACAATAATCTTTATAAAAAAGAAAATGTTTCATGATCTGCTTGTGGAGGGAATAATTCCAGGTTACTCAAGCCAAGGTATGTGAATTTTCTTCGGGAATGCACAACCAGAACCTTCGGCTAGCCAAAGCCTGACTCGCAAGGCAGTAGAGCGGTGTGAAAAAACCGCAATCCATTGGGGGCTGGTGTCATTTCATCAGACCATACATGATGAAAATGGTCAAACTTCCAAGGTGCCCAATACACCTCAATATCCATTTGAGGCGGTGACGACTGCCACAACCAGGAGGGTGTGTGCATGTGGTTCGTGCACCTCTTCTTGGCAGGTTTGTGGCCAACTCCCCTAGGTGATCTGCTAATGTTTCACCAACACGGTTATAGACCCGGATTTTGACTTTTCGTCCTCTCACTTTGGTGCGAAAACACCACCACGCGAAGGCAGTGTGCAGGACTTTCTCGTCGGAATCAGGTCGTATGGGAGCATTTCGCGAGGTGCAAGGGAAGGGTGATCAGCCACAATCCAAAACATCCATCTAGGACCATACTGAGGCTTTCGGGGTTGCACTGGGATCATTGTAAATATAAATGTAAATGATTACTCTGACAATCTTTCTGTTTCTTGTCTGTGGTATAAGTATTTTTTGTGATTTATTTTATCTTACATGAAATAGTTTATTAATATGCATTGTTTAAAGCTTAAAACTGCATATGTATCGTAAAGCTATGAAACGGATAATACGTGAATCTAATTGGATTTTTATCATAATTTTAGGCCTGAAGTAACGAAACCATGGGCGCTAACGCCAGCCATGGTAGAGACAACGAGTCTCTAATGGACAAATTAGTTACAGCGGGTTATACTCTTCCATCCGAGGTGGAGAGAGCAATGCGTTTGGTTGATCGCGGAAGTTATTTTGAGGAGAAAAGTGCTCGTGCTTACGTGGATCTAGCTTGGCGTTCTGGTTCACTTCATTTATCCGCACCCAGTATCTATATGACCGCTCTCGATAATTTGGACTTGCAACCCGGATTGCATTTTCTCAATGTTGGGAGTGGCTCCGGATACTTTAGCACTATCATTGGACTTATTTTGGGTAAGCTGACAATTTGAATTAATAAATCATGGTTTCCATTGGGAATATGTCTTTTAAGTTGACTCTAGTTGTTTTCTGTGTTTTCCTTTGAGTCAGAGACATCACGCTCATATTAGTTGGGATGCACACATGAGTTCCCATTAACTTCTTCCGATTTTGGTTATGTGTAGCGTCGAAGGAACACCCATTTGGTTGTCACATGTGTTGATCCTAGTCTTTCTAATCTTTTCTGTTTCAATTTTCAGTGACCAATTTTTGTTTCGTGTCATCCATGTTCTTCATTGTCTAGTCTTCTCGTTTTTCCTAACATAGCA